ATACAAAAGTTAATATATTTTCTTTAATATTTTAATGCAAAGGAAAAAATAATAAATTTAATAATTGTATGAACTGATTTCTGATCAGACACTGCAAAAAATTGTCATCAAAAAATAAGTTAAAAATACTAGATTAGACCCTTATTCATGTCAAATGTACAATAACTAATATAATAATTAATTAAATCTGCAGTTTGACAGTTGCACTTGGTAAGACTTCTTGAAATAAAGAAAACTTTTCAGGTYAACAAGATTAATAATCCATATTCTGATTTTGCTTAGTATATCGGTCTAAATACAAGATCAAAAATACACTTTAGCTGATATTTTATTTATTATTAACCGTTATTTAAACAGGCAAGATCTCAAATCTCTTTTTTAAGGGTGGACTGGAGGCAACCTATTGTGCATGTTTTTGGGGTGTGGGGGAAACTGGAGTACCTGGAGAAAATCCACACAAGCACAAGGACAACATGCAAACTTCACACAGAAAGACCTCAGGTCTGAACTGGGGATCGATCCCAGGACCTTCTTGCTGTGAGGCGTCGGTGCTAACCACTGAGCTGTTGTGCCAACAATTGTAAGATTGTAAGACTTGGTTAGATGAATAGTTTTCTGCAGTAAAGTCACTCCTCTGCTCAGAAACACTAACAGATGAAATAAGCTTTACTTTAAACCTGGTCAGGACCAGTTTAGTTTCAGAGCACTTCTTACCATGAACACATAAGTGCTTTCCCCTCCCATGCACCTGATAAAGCTTAATTAATTCAGGTTCACACCAAAATCCCAGCTTAATCCCTTATTCTAGATTTGTGCAATAGGCTCCTGGACAGGTCTCCAGTCCATCAGGGACACAAACAGAGACAAACAACTATCACACTCTGTCACACATAGAGTCACACAGAAGAGCTCCAAAAGAGATTTAAACTGAGAACTCAGACCCATCTGCTGCACAGTGTTCTATCATTTATTTACAAGTTTATCATAGTAAATTATTGACAGTTATCAAGAGATATCTTTAAATTTAAGATGTAATCAGGCAGTCAAATATGCATGTATATGTAAATTTATTACTATTATAACTGAAGGTGAGTCATGCAGATGTACGTTTTTATTAAACAAATAGCTTTTTGTGTGACTCTGTACCACTGAAGTAGTTCTCTGTCTCAAAACGTTTGGTGACCCMTGTCCTATAAGATTGTAACAGATTTTATGCTGGTGCCAGAACCTTTTTTTTTGTAGCACCAGTGCTATGAGCTAAACAAGTTAACATACTGTACAGCGCTGGGTAGATAGATGAGAGGACAGTTGGTCTGTGGTCCAGTTAAACAGAACAACACTTAAAATCATAACAAATTCTAAAACAACTGGAATAAAGGGAAGCAGAAACTGAAAAAAGCAAAATCAGAAAACTGAAAATAGTACTTCAAACCTAATAAWGTTAATGAAAAAGAAGGAACATAAAATGTAAAAATATTTTCTAACCCTATGTTTTTTATTAAAAAATATGGAGTTACCCTAACCCTACTATTGTRCATGTTACAATGTGAAACACAACATGTTACAGTATGTTATATTGTGAGACAATACATGGTTCAGTGCGAGATGTTACATGACAACAGCATAGGATATWACTTGATTCAGTAAGTGATGTTACATGTTATAGTGTTAAGCCCCTTTTCCATGGTGTAGTGTCGGAACGGTTGGTGTAGGTACAGGTCGGAGACGTACAAGAGGTTACATGTTACAATGTGGGACGTTACAACTTACATATTGAGATGTTTAATGTTTAATATCTAACCTGTTTGTCCATCATATGGAGGCAGTGCTCATAAGGCTGAGTTCACCTGAAACTCCTCAGACTGAAGAAGTCTCTTGGAGGAGAGACGAAACGTATCATTTAAGGACCCGTCCAGAGGACCTACTTAATTGTTTTATGTTTAATTTTCTTACCTGGATTACCGAGATGCATCAGGACATGTTACAATATGAGACTTAAAGTGTTACAGTAGGAGACATTAYATGTTAAAGTATGAGACATTACATGTTGTGTGTTACATGTTTGAGACAAGCTGCTTGATCAACAATAAYACCATTAGAACTTTATACAAACAGGGTCCTAAAATCTCTGATAAAATCATCGTTCTGAGTACTCTCAAATATGCAAGCAGTGYGAAACATTTCAAATGGCTGCAAACGTGTTTTACTGTTCGGTTGCCTCTTTATGCTCCAACTGAACATCCACCCAGATCTGATAGTCATCCTCTTCACCAGTAGGAAAAGGTTTAAAAAGTACCTTGAGAATGATCTCAAATGTATCTCACAAACTTTAATAGATCATCAATAATATCAATGACTTATTGTGTGTGTGTGTGTGTGTGTGTGTGTGTGTGTGTGTGTGTGTGTGTGTGTGTGTG